GAGGCAGGGCTAGACTTATGAAATCCAGTGGAAGTGCTAGGATTGGGGGGAGGGGGCAACAGCAAAATTTGGGATGGCTGCAGCATCGCCCATAGCCCTCTCCCAGCGCTGCTGTCCATCCCAAGCCCAGCCCCTGCCAAGAAGAGCCCGGTGCAGCCCCAGCTCCAGCCTGCCCACCCTGTGCAGCTCTGGGAGGCACATGTTGTGTGTCATTTCCCAACCCCCCCCATGAGCCATGGGGGGCTTGACTGGGCAGAGCCTGCCCCAGCCCCTGCCTCACTTCCTCCCTCTCTGTGGGGGGGCACTGATCTGCCCCCCTCCCCTACACCCCTTCCCTTCACACTCCCCTTCCACCACAATGGACTTAACAGCTGCACACAGCTCTCCAAGCTGCTGTGCTGTGCTCCTTGCCACCTGCGTGCTGCAGTGCAGCTGTGTGCATGCACAGGCGTTTATCAGCCAAAATATTGGCTGCATGGGGCTAATTTCCAATGCAGCCAATTTTATTTATATTAGTGCCGACTCAATATTGGACCGATGCATTGGTGTACCTCTAATTAGAAGATTATATGTTAAACAAATGTATACTGTTGATTTAATTATGCAATTCAATACATAGATACCAACCAGGATATATCAAGACAGCTTTAATTTGCAACAGCCTTTCCAATGATTTCATGTACTCATAGAGATCTTCAAATATTGCCGTCCCTTCTCCTAGAATACAGTCACCAGAGAATATAGCATTTTCTTCTATGAGATGCAAAACCATATGATCATCAGTGTGTCCAGGAGTATATAAAACTCTGTTAAGAAGAAAAGCATAAATTTACATGCAGGATGGACACAAATACCCCTTACAAGGAAAAGAAATATATATAAACATGTGTTTGTGATTAATAAAGAAAATACAATTCTATAAAGAATTATTATAGAGATATGAAATAGCAATGTAAAAGATGATAAAATTTAGGTTAACCCGTTATAAATTCCTAGATTTCATAAATCCATGTGGGGTATCAGCAGTCAGAAACCTTTTTAGGCTGCAGGCTGAAATTACCCAGGTTGGGTCAAAGCTGGGTGGGCACAAGGACCTGGCTGCCACTGCTGCTTCTTCCTGAAGCCCCATGTCTACAGGCTGAATTAATGGGCTCTGCAGTCTGCATCTGGCCCACAAGTCATAAGCTGCTGATTCTGGACATAGTTAGCCCTACATTCTATAACACAAGTTTTTCTACTACACATGTAGTATCTGAGCATTTTCCAGCAGCGCATTAAGTGATACGACTAATCTCTCTCATGTGGTTACTCTTCCTCTTATTTGCTTCCCTACAGGCAAACTGTATGCTCAGGAGTTTTATTGTGGCTAAGTTCATAAATATATGTGCATGTACATGCACTCACACACCAAACACACAGATAGAGCTATATGTCTACGTAACACATGCAAAGTTGAAGAAATGCACCTTACAGGTAGAGCAGAATGGAATGAGGTGTGAAAGGATCCTCCACCGTCTTCATACAAGTTCACACTATAGAATCAGGCTGTCCCTGTATCTTCTGCATTTTTGATCTTCACCTTTATGTAAAATGTTTCACTGTGCCAGAGTAAAAATACCAGTCCAGAATCTTCATCCCAGAGCTTTCACTAGTCTTTTACATCTCCTGGGCCCAGGCCAGGGAGCACCTTGAGGATAATGACGAAGACCTGAAACTTGATTTTAAGTTCTTTGATAAACTAGTGCAGGGAGCAGAAAACAGTTTAGGGTGTTCACTATAGTCCAAGTTGCTAAGAAGATCCTAGTCAGCATTTTGAAATCTCCATAGTTTCTTAAAGACTTGATGGTGTTGTGCCCAGGTATTTGTGTATTCCATCCAAGAGCTAATAAAAGTATGTATATTTGTGCCCAGATCACTCCGCCAAGACAGGCAAAGTCTTTCAGCCAACTGAATATGGTTTAAAAATATATTTAGGAATAAAGGTCTAGGAGGGACCTCCTAGACCATTAAGTCTAGTCCCCTATGTTCTCAGGCATTTGTTATCCAAAGCAATCGCCAAAATTACCACTTCAAATCCTTACCCTCACAACTAAAAGGAAAAATATCCCAAACACTAAGAACACCATATAACATGGTGCAGGTAAAAGTAAGGGGGGTGGGGAACAAAGGCACTTCCAATGAACTGACACAATGATAAAGCAGCAGTTAATATATACTTAGTGGATCCTACGAAAAGGACCACGTTCCATACTACACAGGAAGGCAAAAATATCCACAGTCCATGCCACTCTGATCAAGAAAGGGGAAATCCTTCCTAACCTCAAATTTGGCAACAGGTATGACTTTAAATGGAAGATGAAGATGCTTTAGCCAGAACCTCTTCTAGGTTTTTTAGTACCAACAGCAACTAAAAATAATGCTCTATTACCTAGCTCTGTATGACATTTTAATGCTCTATTACTTAGCTCAGTATGAAACTGCTTACTAAGTAAGACCAACATTTTTAAATATGTTCCTAATAGGGTCCACTCCAATGAATAGTCATATGCCTATTTTTACCCCCTATTTAAACTACACTGGGCACATCTACACAAGACACTAAATGTGCAGTAGACTAATTCTATCATGGTTGTGTGTGTCATGACAAAAGCCATGCTAATGCACTAATGTGCAGTACAATTAGTCTACTGCTCATTAGTGTCACTAAGAGACCATGCGCTGGGGCTACTGTGCAGCAGCACCGGTTACTGCATATTGAGTTAGCACCTATAGCATGAATGCACAGTCATATGGGTGGCAAACTGGCTCCAGGGGCGCACCCAGAGGGTGGTCGTGGATGGGTCGATGTCGACCTGGGAGAGTGTGGGCAGCGGAGTCCCCCAGGGCTTGGTCCTTGGGCAGGTGCTGTTCAACATCTTCATTAGCGACCTGGACGAAGGTGTGAAGAGCACCCTGTTCAAGTTCGCTGATGACACTGTGGGGGAAAGTGAATACACTGGCAGGCAGGGACCGCATCCAGGCAGACCTGGATAGGTTAGAGAAGTGGGTGGATCTGAACAGGATGCGGTTCAACAAGGACAAGTGCAGAGTGCTGCATCTGGAGAGAGGGAACCAGCATTATGGTTACAGGTTAGGGGCTGACCCTCTCAGCAGCACAGAGGCAGAGAGGGATCTTGGAGTCATGATTGACTCCAGGATGAATATGAGTTGCCAATGCAACAAAGCAATAGGCAGAGCCAACCGCACCCTGTCATGCATCAACAGGGACATCACTAACAGGTCCAGACAGGTCTTGCTCCCCCTCTATGCGGTGCTGGTCAAGCCGCAGCTGGAGTACTGTGTCCAGTTCTGGGCGGCACACTTCAAGAAGGATGTGGAGAACCTGGAGAGGGTCCAGAGGAGGGCCACTAGTATGGTTGGGGGCCTCCGTGGCCAGCCCCATGAGAAGAGGCTGAGGGACCTAAATCTCTTGTCTCCACAAAAGGAGACTGAGGGGGGAATCTTGTGGCTGCCTACAACCTTATCAGGGGCCATCAGCAGGAACTCAGGGAAAGTCTGTTCACCAGGGCCCCCCTTGGAGTCACCAGGAA